TACCAGCGCCGAGGTCGGCACGACGGGAGCCTGCCGTAGAAGGTCGAGGTCGATTCGGGGAGGGTGCCCTAGCTTTCTTTCAAGAGGGAAAAACACACACAGACACAATTAATCGACGATCCCCCAGAAAATATGCAAAAATATGGGAAGTGGGGGGGAAGACAAAAACTCAGAAAATATAGGAAAATATGGGGACTATTTTTATTTGTGTGTATTTATTTGTGTGTCCTGGGGCCCCTTTATTCTTGGTGTCTGCTGGATGCACCAGACTCAGAAACAGGGGCGAGGGAGGGAACCGAAAGCGATTCTGGCGCGTGCGCGGACCTCACGGGCTTCTCCGTCGGCCTTCGCACGGTGTTGTGCCGCTTCACGGGAGGAGGCAGCACGGCAGGGAGGCGCAGGAGGAGAGGAGCGAAGGGAGGGCTGGAGGAGCGGAGGGAAGATTTGCAGCCGGGCCGAGGTCTAAGATCGAGGTCAGTGCGGGGAGGGCACCCTAGGACAAGGAAGACAGCGGAAGAGGTGGTGCGACGACACATCACAGCTTGTACGAGCTGCCAGTAGGGATAATACCAAGACGTGGTTAGATGCTGCTCGAGACGGGACACTCTGGAAAAAGTGGGAGAAGTATTACTTTGCATACGCGCACATCTGATCGGGCCCCGGCCCGCCCGCGCCGCTCCTAAGGGGCCCGCCTGCGGGCGGACACGCCCGACTCGTCCCGTCCCGTCTTCGTGTTTTCTGGATGTTTGTTTGTGCATCCTGGGGAGGGTACCCGCGGATGCTCTGTCTGTTTTGGCCGCCAGAGGGTCTCATGTTCTCGAGGGATGCTTTTCTGGCCTAGGTCCGACTGTAAACAAGCATGGGTTCTCCAGACTGTTGGCTAGTGGATTGCTACCATATAGACAAAGTAGTCTGCCTTGTTTGTAATGGTCGCCGAGGGTTTTTGGAGCATTTGCCCCTGCATTGTTGATGTTGGTGGGAGCAGGGGGGGGGAGCGGGGAAAGCACGTTGCCCGCAACTCGGGGATCAGAAGCGGCGCCCCGAAAACGACGGCGGCCCCGTAACTCGGCCAGAAGGGGAAGCGCCGGCGGGGAGGAAACGAAAGCGGTCGAGTCGAGAAGTTTTTTCTAGATTGCGGTAAGTGGCCGAAGCTGTATAGGAGAAGCTCTATTGAGTAAAGTTGGTATTGGATCGGCAAGTGGCGCAGTGAGCGCATCGGCGCTGCGCGCCACGCTGCTCTTGCATCGCCTCATCCTTTCGAGGTGGCCTCTTTTCGGCCGGGGTGAGAGGGCTGACCCGGGGGCCGCAGCCTAAGATTGGAGGGATATGTTTTCTCGCGCGGAGAGTTTGCGTCGAAATTGTCGTGATTCGCGGTTTCCCTTTTCCTCTCACTCCTCCTTCCTCCTTCTCCTCCTCCTCCTCGAACAAGAAGAAGAATAGTTGGGCCTCCAGGGCCTGACATTTGGCACAGACCTCTTCTGTCAACACCCGACATCTTGAGTTGAGTGTAGATGAGGGTCAGGGGAGGCGGTGGTGTAAAGATTCCCTTTGGGGCGCTCTCGCGGGGTACTGGGCAGTACCCTGCGCAACTGCATCTCACAGATCAGCAGACCCTGCACCCTCAAGGTGCTGGTGGTGGCAATCCTTCAGCCCCCTGACCCACACTGTAGGCTTCGAGTCCCAAAATTCGGATGCCTCACTTTTACTTTCGCTGGCGGACCCGCTGCCGTGTTTCGTCGGCCAGTTTTCTGCCAGCCCCCGCCAGTTGCGAGACGCAGACATGTGACGTCGTTTTTTTTTGTTTAACATGTTTACCCCGCAGGGGTCTAGACCACGTCCCTGTGGCCGCTCACGCATTCCGAGTAGTTGTTGCACTGTCCCAGGGCCCGGTGACGACCCCCAGAGGCCGAAAGCCTGCAACAGCACGAAAAACTCGGCGATGTCATGCTTGTTTTCAAGACGAGAGGAGGTATGGGGTATGGGTCTCCCTCTCCCTGCGCAGGCCGGTCTCTGTGCGCGTTCCCGACGGGGTGACCAGCTTAGACGATGGCGCGTTCCACGACTGCACGACGCTGTACGCCGTGTCCCTGCCTGTAGGCCTGCGCAGCATCGGGGACGGCACCTTCCGCGGGTGCACCGTCCTCCACACCGTCATCATGCCTAAGACGGTCTCGAAGATAGGAAGTCGGGCGACGAAATCTATACATATCCACTGCTCCTGTGCCAGGCCCAGCCTGGGTCCAGAATGGGCCTGGCCAGGGAGCAGTGGACATGTATAGATTTCGTTACCCTAGGAAGGGGGGCGTTCGCCGGCTGCCACTCCCTGCGCAGCGTCAACATCCCCGACCTCGTCACCGAGATCGAGGACGAGACATTTTCGGGGTGCAAGGCTCTCACATCCGTCGGCATGCCGGCGCGTCTGAATCGTGTAGGCAATTGGGCATTTTTTGGTTGTGCCTCCTTGACGCACATCGACCTGCCACAGTCGGTGGCGCACATTGGCAGGTGTGCCTTCTATCCAGCTGCCTTCGGCAAACCTCGCCACCATGTCAACGCAGTATCCAAGTGCATGCGGGATGGTGTACTGAGCTATCCCGAAGTGGCTTGAAAGGGGCCCTTGCAGGACTCCAGAAAGCTGCTGGGCCGTCTTGGGCGCGATGGTTCTGATTGCCGAGTTCCATCTTCGGACTGTCTGGGGCGCGGCGCTACGATGTGTAACCTGGCTCGGCCTTAACGCTGCAATATTGCTGCTTTTACACAGGGGGGGGGACTGGAGGCTCGCTTAGAGCTTCTGGAAGAGGGCGCTGTGGGGCCTGTCAGGGGCCTCTTGAGAGTCTTGAGGCCGTCTTCGGGGCGATGGTTTTGCCCAGCTCTTCGGAATACCCTTTCCTCCGACGTTCGCATTTCTGCTTGTAACACAGGCCCCCTGTGATCTCCACCCCTTCACCGGGGCCAGCTTTTCATCCTGAGTATGTGTTTGACGCTCCCAGGGCCAGGAAACGACCACTAGAGGCCTAAAACTTCAAAACCGCCCGTCGCGATTTGTGTACTGCTTGAGTCTGAGGGGAGGCGCGATGGAGCCATCTTGGAGCCGTCTGGATTGGCCACGGAGCGGTCTTGGGCAATCTCTGGGGCGGCTCTCTGGCCATCTTGGGGAGCTCTCGGGGCCGTCTTGGTCCATGATGGGGGGCGAAAGGCGAAGCTGAAATCGTTGGGCCGTCTTCCTACTATTCGGTGTTGATGGGGGGCCTCCCTTGGTCCAGTTCCATCCGATCGGTCCGTATTCTGGCAGGCTCGATCGGACTCGAAGCCGATGTTCCCGACGATCAGATGCGACCCGATGATTAGTTGCACGGCGCTGCCGTCCATCTCTGGCGCAGCCGATCCGGTTCGGTTTGTCGAGTCGGCGCCGAGGCAGCCCGATCCGACGCCCAGTCCGATTCGACGTTTAAGTCGGATGTGTCCCTCTACAGGAGGAGCATTCAAGCATAGTCAAAAGATAGTCTGGGGAAGATTCTTCGTGCTCTTGTCGAAAGTTGTTTCAATATGTTGCATGTTTCTTCCAAGATCCGCCTGTAGGAGGACATGACATGCCTGACCTAAGATTCGATCCGCTTTCCCGACTTGCGTCTGATCGGTCCTTGCTTCCAGAACCCTCTTGGCGTGTTTCTGGACTACTTGGGGGCTTCTTGGATTCTCCCAGGGTCTTCTGAGGGTCTCGGGGCCATTTTCAAGGGAGGAACAACCACCCAGACCCCGACAGTTGGCGTTTACTAGACGGCCTTGGGCGTTTGCTAACAGCCCTGTCCTGTTCGATTCCTTCCTTGGGTGCGTTTGCTAAACGGCTTCGCTTGTCGGAGCGAAACGGCGGCCAAACATCCGTCCAGCGGGACGGCTCAATAGTGCGCAAAAGCGCACGGAGAGGCTGGAAATTCATCGGACAGCGACTCGGTGAAACAGTGAAACATCATGCGGTGTGGCAGGACGTCCGAAAGGGAGGGGGTGGGGAGGAGAGCGCAGCACGTGGGCCGGCGAGCAAGGAAGAGGGTGGGGGGGCGCGGGATTCCCGACATTTGCGGTCCAGCAGCCACCCGCAGAGGCCGAGCCGATGATGCTTCTTGTGAGGCGGGTGCTTCTGCTGGGGGCGGGTCTTCCGCCCTCGAACACTTGTATACATCCGTGTTCGGCCGTGCTTGGGGCATTTGCCTTGATATGTGAGCCCAAGTTGTTTGTGATGGGCCTGGCAGGCGGTGTGGAGAGTACATGTGGTGCGTCGCGGTCGTCCCCTTCCTCGTAAAAAAAAAAAAATGTTGGGCCGTGCTTGGGGCACTGTGAAGCATGTCTTGGGAGGTACTGCTCTCAGTCTCGGGGCCAGGGCGAGCACCGGAGGGACAGATGTGGGGGGGCGGTTTTGTTTCGAAGGCTGACTGCGATGAGGGGGGGGGAGTCGCCCATGCAAGAGCACTACAGACCCTACAACTCAGAGAGACCATCAATATCGGGTCGGGGGGAGGGGGGTGGGAGAAATGATCAGATCATCCGAGTCATCGCGTATGTCGAGTGTGCTTATGAGACAGTCGTGCCCCGCATCCTCCCAGCCCCATCCTCCCAACAACCCGATAGTTGTCTTTCTGGACAACCCGCCGCCCAGACCTGACACCAGGGACATAACCTGACGCTAGCCCCGCTACCAGCGGGCTCAGTTTGCACCCTGGTGGCACGTACAGCGGTGACGTGCAACTCCGGTGAATGTTTGCGGCGTCCAAGATACTGAGGCGGGAATGTTCGATCCGGGAAAATGTAAGACTCGAGTAAGCCGGAACTCGGGTTTGCTGACGTTTTTTGACGAGCGCGTCGTGGAGTTTGACGGTCCAGTTTTCGTGGATCGATCGTTCTCACACGCGGCAACGTCCGTTGACCAGCCTGCTCAGAGCTAACAGGTTTTCCAGCGCGCCTCAACGCCCATGGACGCGGAGGCGGACAGCTGCAGCGGGATCGACTCAATCAACATCCCGCGTTCGGTGACCGTCCTGCAGCGTGGCACGTTTGCGTTCTGCAGGTCCCTACGATTAAGTGGGGTAGGTCCCTCTACAGGAAGAAGATTCGAGAATAGTCAAACATCTGATGGGGAGAACTTGTCGATTGTTTGCTAGCATTTTTGAGCATGCATTATTTGATTACCTCTTTCTTCCAAAATCCGCCTGCAGGAGGATATGCCCGACCTAACCCTACGAGCGACGTACACATCCAGATCCATGCCCTCGCAGGCCAGATATCTAGGCGTGATCCCACGGATACGTCTCGAACGGGGCGTCACCGCAAGGCCGCCCTGTATCCATGGGGCCGGGGCTTCGGCATCTGGGCCGAGAGGTCGCGTGCATGGATGATTCCCGCCTCGAGGTCTTTGACCGAAGTCCACTTCCCAGACACGATCGTCTCGGTCGGCGCCTGGGCCTTCCGAGACTGCAGCTCCCTGACGTCGTTGACGCTTCCGAGCTCCGTGACCAGCATCGGGCAGCAGGCTTTCGCGTGGTGCAGCTCCCTCGAGTCGATAGACTTCCCGTCCTCGGTCACCAGCATCGGGCCCGGAGCGTTCGCCTCCTGCGTCTCGCTGCGGCGCGTGGAGCTCCCGGCGTCGGTCGCGCACAGCTCGACGACGAAAGCATTGCATGAGCAGAAACTTTTGGACCCAGACACGATCGCGTGATAAAAAAATCAGGACGGGCGGTTTTTGGCTCTATTTTCCGCCCCAGGGGGTCCTCGCCAGGCCTCGGGACCGTCAAAACAACTCAGGATGAGAAACCGGTCCCAGGGAAAGGGTCGGGACTTCCAGGGACGCCGTCCTGAATCAAGACGTCGCATGTCTGGGGAGGTCCACGCCGATTTCTTGGACTGGCGCTGTACCCCCTAGCTGGCGCGGATCGGCGCTGTGCCCCCTCGTTGGCGCACGGAGCGCGCCAGTGGCGGCGCCGGAGGCGCCGCCAGAGGGGAGCCCAGTGCCGGTCCAAGAAATCCGCGCGGACCTCCGAAAGTTCCTGCTCGTACCTGCCTTCTTCCTCTTCCATCGGCGACGGCGCCTTCATCTGGTGCGTGGCGCTGACAGCGGTTGAAGTCTCGAGCCCGGCGACCACCATGGGAGTCGACGTCTTGTTTGGGTGCGGCACGCGGTGCGTCACGGGCCCGGCGCAGGCGGGACGGGCGCCCTCTCTGCCGGACGTTGCCTTCAAGAGGCGCTCGCGGGGCCTCGCAGGGCCCGGCTGCTCCTGGGCCGCCGGCGCCGAGCGGGAGAGCTTCGGGGACATGCCGGGCCGGACGACGGCCCGGCGCTCCGACGGCATGGTGTCTTCCACCAGCGCGTGTTGCCTTGATGCCTGCCCTCGGGGGCCGTTCTGGGTCCCCATATGGGCCGCCAGGGAACTGGCCCTCGGGGGAAAGGGTCGGGACTTCGGGGGCCGCGGGGTGGAGAAGACACCTCGTCGGATGTCTTGGGCTGCGGGGGAGGGGGGCCGGGAAGCGGGCGGCAGGACCTATGAAATTTGCTGCGCGCAGCCAGCTTCGGCCCCGCCGGGCGCCTTTCTCGATGCACGGGGTGCCATCGCCGCCAGGAGGCGCCGGGAGAACCAGCTGCGCGCGAGCTGATCCCCCAGACCCCCGACGTCGTGATTGTTTCACAACGTCGACCCCCAGAGGTCTGAACTCCTTCCCCGGGATCTCATCCCGAGTCGTGTATTGGCGGTCCTGAGGTCCGGTAAGGCCTCCAGAAGCAGAACAAAAACTACAAATTTCACGACGCGATTTCCTCACGACGTGAGGGGGTCTGGGAGGAGGAGGAGGAGGAGGAGGAGGAGGAGGAGGCGGAGGAGGCGGAGGAGGAGGAGGGGAGGAGGAGGAGGGGGAGGAGGAGGAGGGGAGAGGGATCGAGGAGGAGAAGGAGGAGAAGGAGGAGAAGGAGAGAGGGGGAGGGGGGTCGAGGATCGAGGATCGAGGAAGAGGAGGAGGAGGAGGAGGAGGGGAGGAGAAGGAGGAGGAGCAGGAGGCGGAGGAGGAGGAGGAGGAGGAGGAGGAGGAGGAGGAAGGGAGGAGGAGGGGAGGAGGAGGAGGTGGAGGAGGAGGAGGAGAGGATCGGGGATCGAGGAGGAGGAGGAGGTGGGAGGAGGAGGGGGTAATCGAGGATCGAGGAGGAAAAGGAGGAGGAGCAGGAGGAGGAGGAGGAGGAGGAGGAGTAGGATCGAGGATCGAGGATCGAGGAGGAGGAGAGGAGGAGGAGGAGGAGAGGAGCAGGAGTAGAAGGAGGAGGAGCAGGAGGAGGAGGAGCAGGAGGAGGAGGAGGAGGAGAGGGGAAGAGGAGGGGGGTCATCGAGAAGGCGAAGGAGGGAGAGGAGGAGGAGGAGGAGGAGGAGGAGGAGCAGGAGGAGCAGGAGGAGCAGGAGGAGCAGGAGGCGGAGGAGGAGGCGAAGGAGGAGGAGGAGGAGGAGGAGGCGGAGGAGGAGGAGGAGCAGGAGGCGGAGGAGGAGGAGGAGGAGGAGGAGGAGGAGGAGGAGCAGGTGGAGAGATCGAGAATCGAGGAGGAGGAGGAGGAGGAGGAGGAGCAGGATGGGGCCGTTGCCCCCAGCCTTCGCCCCATGTTGCCGTGCCCCCGCCCCCCCTCCGCCCGGCCCGGGCATCGCGGCCACGAGCCCGGCCGACACCTGCACGACCGCCTGCTCGGAGGACGACCTGCGCGCGCAGGAGGCCGCGCCCCGCGGGGCCAGGACGCGAGCAGCGGCGGAGCGTCCTGGCTAGCCTGTAGGCTCCAGTCGGGCATGTCGCTCTACTGGAGGAATATTCAAACAGAGTCAAAGAATAGTCTGGGGACGATTCTTCGACTATGTTTGATTTCTTCTGAATATGTTTTGATTTTGTTGTATGGTTCTTCCAAAATGCGCCTGTAGGGGACATGCCCGACCTCAGGCTAGCCTATAGGCCCACCAAAGAATGTTCCAAGAGCCTCTCGTGGTCTGCACGCAGCGTTCTTAGAACCTTCCTGGCCGATGCAGCCCTGGGTGCCAGCACATCGGGCCGATGCTCTGAGAACCCCCTGTGCCGGTTCTCAGAGCACTCTTGTGTTCCAAGATCCACTCCGTGGTATCAGGCCCATGGGCCGGGACGGCCGGCCCCTGCTCAGAGGACGGGGCACAGCGCCAGCGCGCCCGACTTGAGCCCGCAGCTGCAGCGAGACCGCTGGCAGGGCCTCCGCTGGCCGCCGGTCGCCGAGGCGACGCCGCAGGCGAGGCGGGAGGCACTGCGGCGGGAGCTGCAGGAGCGCCGGCGCAGGAAGCCGCCGGGCCAGCCGCCCGAGGACAGCATGGCGGGTCGGCGGCAGGAGCTCCTGCGGAGGAGAGGGGATCCCAGGCACGATCGCGTCGTGACGAAAAATCGGGGCGGGAGGTGTTCGGCTTATGTTCGGCCCCGGGGGGCCCTCGCCGGGCCTCGGGACCGTCAAAAAAGGACGCAGGACGAAAAGCCGGTCCCGGGGAAAGGGTCGGGACTTCCAGGGGCGCCGTCCTGAAAAGATCCGGACGTCGCATGTCTGGGGTACCCACACCGCGACCCTTCCCTCGTTCTGTGCTCTTTTGGGCCTCCTGCGAAGCCCTCGTCGCCATCGCTGGATTCGCCTCGAAATGCTGGTCAGAACGCACCCGGGGTATTTGGATAAATTTTCGGGCGCCGGGGTTAACTGTCCGACTCCCCTCGCGTTCCTGGCCGACTCTGACTGGCCGACTGGCCGACTGCGGAGTCGGAAAGTTCTTTCTGCCTCAAAACTTCTCTTTCTCACCCTGGGAGTGGTGGTCCAGGGAGTAGCGGTATGGGTACCTGTTGGTTTTCCCCAGGAGCTCTGGAGGGAGCTGCGCCAGCAGCAGCTGAGCCGGGACCACACGCCCATGGCAAGTGACGACGACAGCCTGTCCAGTTGGAGCGTCAAACAGGGCCTGGACTGCAGGCAGCAGATGTAGATCCCCTTCCTCTTTCCTCCCTTCCACCTCCTCTCCTGCCTCCTCCCTTTCTTTGGCGAGCGCTGTGGTGCAACTGTGGCTCCACGGATTGCGAGGTGGGGCTGGGAGCACCCGATTTTGGCCTCATAGTGGTTAGGCATGGCCCGCACATCCGCTCCTCACCTCACTGAATCATGCTGTGCGCTCCCTCCCACCTCCCCCCTCCAGCAAGGCAGCAGATGGAGATCGCCAGGATGGAGCGCGCCGACGTGGAGGAGCAGCATCTGCGCAGGACGCGCGCGCTGGAGTCCGAGCGCGAGAGCATGCAGCGAGAGCTGTCGCAGCAAGTCTCTGGCAGCCCGCCGCGGCTGCCGGAGACGGGGCGGCGGCGCTCGGAGCCGGCGCCGGGGGCGCTCTCGCAGGCGAGCAGGACCACCGGCAGGGGCCCAGGCCTCCAGTGCGGAGAGGCGTTGCCCCTCTCGGCCTCTGGGGCCCCCGCTGGGCCGGTGGGGCCGGTGAGACCTTTGGCGGTGTGAGGAAGGGGGGTGCACCTCTTGAGGGCTCCGGCCGTGGTTTGTTGTGCCACGTCGCAGCTGGTTCTCAACGTCGGGTCTCCAGGGAGGGGAAGCGAGGGGGGGGACCAGCTCAAGCGCAAAAGGGGCACGGAAGGTGCACGTGTCTTCCCCCCCCCCCCCCCCACACACGTATCGTTCCCCCCCTTACTTCTTCACGCTTCGCGTATCCCCACCAGCGGTCGCGTGCCTCGCGGCCGGCTGCTTGTGTCTGTTTCTTCCCGAATTGGCGCCGTCAGGGCGACTCCTCGCTGCATGTGCACTCCGCGCGTTCTCGCGCTGATTATCTTGCGCTGTGCCCCAGCCTCGGTCCTTACGCCCTCTGGACTTTTCCTTGCGGGCCGCATCAAAAAAAGTATCCCCTCCAGCCGCCTCTCCAACACCTCCCCGTGATCGGGCCTGGCCTCTTCCGGGTCGTCGTTGGAGCTGGGCTTCCCACCGCACCCACCCTCTTCCGAACCATTTGGTGTTTGGCGATCCGGATTTTCCGTTGAGCGCCCGCACGGCATGACCCCTTCGTGTCGGGGGTCGTCGTTATGTGTTGGTTATTGGTTTTGTCCACGGCGTGCTGTTCTTCGCGACGGTGATCCACATCCGGGTCGTGGGTTTCTTCAAGTACCTCGTAGTGCTGCACGACGCCCAGGAGCTCCTCCTGGCGCTGGCACTCTTCTGAGCGGCAGTGAGGTTCGCCTGCTGTCCGTCTCTCCTGCTCGTTCTTGCTCTTTTTGTTTCGCTATTCTGCTCCTGTGCGCTAACTTAGGCCGTTGCATCTGCGCGTCGTTCCTTTCCGCCGCCCGACTTGTCTCACCGCGGTCGGAACAGAAAAAATCCCCGCCAGCCCATTCAGAAGCCCTGCCCACGAGACCTGACGGGAAAAGGGGCGAGGGGACACATCTACGGAAACAATGCGAGCAAACAGGATGAACCCTGAGATCTGCGGGAGCAAAGGGGTGGCCTTGGAAGGCCTCTTCGGGCCATCCCTGGGGGCCGCATGGGGGCGAGGGGAAGAGGAAGAGGAGGAGGAGCGCTTCCGCTTTATGTCTTTCTCATGATCCCTCGGACCACCTGTCGCCTAAAGGGCTGGTGGGATTTTTCAGCCATCAGCTGGTGCTGCTGCTACTGCTGGTGCTGCTGATGTTGTTGCTGCCTCTGCTGGTGATGCGGCTGGTGCCTTGGCACGCCTGTTGGGGCCATCTAGGAGAGCATCGATCAAATCATGGGGGGTCCTCGATTTCGGCCCCTTCCCAGGAGCCCTCAAAATCGTCTCTTGGAGCTCTGCTGGTGCTCTTTGGGAGGAAATTAGAGCTCTCTTGGGGCTCCATTAGGGGTCTTGGAGTCTTCTTGGGGCCCTTTTTGGAGCTCTCTTGGGACCCTCTTGGGGGCCCTGGAAGGCGTCATGGGGCCATCTCGAAGGCCGTCGATCAAAAGAGGAGATGGTATAATGTTCAGTCCCCCAAAAAAAAAGCCAAAACGGGACCAAAACCGCATTAAAAACCAATGAGTGTGGCTTTTTCGCCGAAACCGTTTTGGACGCTATGACACCTCGCGAAACCTCCCAAAAAAAGGCCCGGGGAGGGAGTAGGGGGAGGGGTAAACCTTTCCCCGTAGGGGAAGAGGGGTTTTTCTGGAAGAGGGAAGAGGATTCTCGTTAGACCACCGGCGCCCAAAGGGCTGGTGGGATTTACGCCCGCGGCGCGCCGCAGTTTGATTTTTTCGCGCCCCGTGTGGAGCGGGGTTGCGCCGCCGCTGGCTGCCCTTGAGGAGAACCGCGTCACAGGCGCAACCCTTCGGGGCTCCGCGCGGATTGCTGGTGCGTCCGTGGCCGCCTTTGGGAGACCTGGCGGGGGTCCCGGGGGGGACCCGCTGCCCAGAAGGCGCCTGCCTGCTGCACCTGGCTGGCCGCGGAGACTCGAAGGCAGACGGCGGGCCCCCGAGAGCTCTCGGCCGCCGGCGTTTGGCCGGCAGCCCGAGCTGGGCCGAAGGGCCGGGCGCGCGGGGTGCCTCACGGCTGCGGCCGAGGCGAACGGCCCGCCGCGCACCGGAAGGTCGCTTTTCGTAGGCCTAGAGGTTGACACCAACACCAGCATCGGCGGTGCGCATCCACCGAGGGATGGGGATATACCGATCTCATTGATGGTGGTAATCGTCGGGCTTCCGAGGCGGCCGAAAGTTTACCACCAACACCGGAATCTGGGATCATCCTCCCCTGGTGGACGCAACCTACTATTGTTTTAGGGGAGCGAACAATGACATAAACATGAAAACTTGGAGTTCCGCGCAGATTTTTCGGATCGGCGCTGGGGCCACCTGGCAGCGCCTCTGGCGCCGCCCCTGGCGCGCTCCGCGCGCCAGGGAGGGGGGGGGCAGCGCGGATCCAAGAAATCCGCGCGGACCTCTGAGTTTTTATGTTTATGTCATTTGTCGTTCCCCTATGTTTTGATGTCGGTGCCCCTTTCCATATCTCGGCGATGGTGGTAAGGTTCGGGTTTCCTAGGTGGCCGAAAGCTTACCACCAACACCAGAATCTGGGATGATCCTCCCCTGGTGGACGCAACCCGCTGCTTCGGTGTCGGTGTTCCATTTCCAAGCCTCCAAGCGCTCCACGTCCTCCCGTTCCGCTCCTCTGCTGCTGCTGCGTGTGCTGCTGCCTGCGACAGGTGCTCGGCGGAGGGATCCCGCCGCGGGGGCGTTCCGATTGGAGCGACCCCCGCGGCCCCGTGAGAAGAGTACTGCGGGGGGTAAGGGCCGATTGTGGCCTCGGGGTCGGGCGGAGGCGGAGGCGGAGGCGGAGGCGGAGGAGGCGGCGGAGGAGGAGGAGGGGGAGGAGGAGGAGGAGGAGGCCGGCTCGGGGTGGAAAGCTAGCGCCCAGGGAACAACCTGGACCTCTGGGGGTCCATGCTGCGAGAAACAAGTTGTTGCGTCGGGGATCTTGGGTTCCGGCGGACCTCCTCCCCCTTGCCCTCCTCCAAGTTCCCTTCCTCGTGCTCTGCTCTCTCCCCATCCTCCCCTTCCTTCCCTTCCTGAATCTACTCCGTCCCCTCTCCTCTCCTCGCCATATGATTCCTCCTGGTCTGTGGTAGCTGCATGGCCCGTCCGGGTCGGGCCGCGTCGCGATCGGGTTGCAGGCCCGATGCCGAGCCCGAATGCATTCCACGCATCATCAGTTGTTTGTGTGTCCTGATAATTAGCCTGAGGCCGCCCTCGATGTAGATAGGTATGTTTTCCTCGGGTGGGCTCCATTGCGCGTACACTCGTCGCAGGAGCTCCTCCCGTCCACCGTGGCTATTTCGGCAGATCCCAGTATTGATAGCGCACGGGCGTTGCTCCAGCACGGTTCTTCGCCCCAAAATCATCCTCGCCCTCACCTTCATCACTCATCATGATCTCAGCATTCTCGACCATCGTCACTATCCTCATCGCCCACATTACCTCCTCGGTCCTCGCCGCCTTCGTCCCCCCTCGCCCCCCGCGCAGCCCTTTTGGCACACGCCAGTTCGCACTCAAGCGGGACCTCCTAGACTCCTCCGTCAGCTGCCACCCTGGCAGGGAAGGGCTCGGCACGCTCGGCCTCATCCTCCTCCTCCTCCTCCTCCTCCTCCTCCTCCTCCTCCACGTCCTCCTCCTCCTCCTCCTCCTCCTGCTCCTCCTCCTCCTCGGCGGCGCCACAGCTGGCCACGCCCGGCTTCCCCGAGGGCGGGGGCGGGCCGGGCCCCCCGCCCCGGGCGCGCCAGCGAGGAGTGACGGCCTCCATGGGCGCACAGTGCGAGCCCGCGGAAGACTCTCGGACGGCCTTCGGGTGCTCTCTCGCCTCTGGAGGGACCCTTGGTGCGCGGCGGAACGTTCTCAGACGTTGTCGTCGGCTCCTGGAGCTTCTCCTGCCTCGGGAGGCGCGCCTCGTCGCGCGCGTTCTGGGGTTGCCCGGATCGTCCCGAGCGGCCGCCAGAGGCCCGAGTGGTGGCCCGAGAGCCAGGGCCTCGGCGCGAGGCCCTCGGCTGCGCCTGGGACCGCTGGCCGGCGGACGAGGAGGGGGAGGAGGAGGAGGAGGAGGAGGAGGAGGAGGAGGAGGAGGAGGAGGAGGGGCGAGGAAGAGGTGGAGGGCGTGACCGAGGGGCGTACGAGACCCGCTGGCCCTCGGCCGCTGGCCGGCGGTCAGCCCCCGAGGGGCCAGGTCTTTGACTAGCTAATGCTAACGGGCGCACCGGGAACGACGCATACCCTTCTGCGAACTTAGATTCTGAGCGCCCAGTCGGACGGGCGCGAGTGTTGCGGTCTCCACGATGGTTGAGCCTTGCATTCTGAGCGGAAGTGTCGGTTGCCTTGGTTTTTTGTTCGACAGCCGTGCAAGGATTTTGGGTTGCGCTGCAGGGTTTCGTTCAGAGTCTCAGTTTGCGAGGTGGGGGCAGCTTTCGGTTGCAAAGTTCCTTCTTCTCCTCATCCTCCTCCCATTCGCCTTTAACCTCTGCATGCGTCTTGCTTGATTTCCAACTTGCGTTGGTTTCTCGCTTTGAAGCGAGCACTGTTCGCGCGACGTCTTCTCCTTCTCCTCCTGTTTCTGCTATGGGTGCTGCTGCTCTTTCACGCTCAGCGCTTAGAACTTGTACTACCTGGCGTGTGTAACTTGCTCGGCACCGTCATCGCTTGCCAGACATCTGAGAGTTGGAAGACGGGACCCCGCTGAGTCTCGCGCCTTCTTTCTGGCATGCTACTCCTGCCTTCCTCTTTCTCTCTCGGACGCGCAGCAGCCGGACTCAAG